TATCCCGCGGTTAACCTCCACCCAGGGGCCGGGAATGGGTGATCCAGGACATAATTTGGTGTAAGTTGGAATACCTGGATATCAAAAAAAAAATGTATTCTTACGTATTACATCCAAAAATTATGCCGCTTCACCTGGGTGTCATATCTGTCATCTAAGGGAGTCCAATCACGAGCCCACATGTCATGGACTGAACATTCAAGCCTTCATCTTCAAGGTTTGCCTGAACAAAGGAGTGTGCAGGGCTTTAACACGACTTTAGAAAACTCGGACAGCCTCAGACATGAACAAGACTCATCTCGGTGTAAATTCCGATAAACCAACATTGATGTTATTGCACCATGCTGTTGCGTAAAAGCAAAATGTTCTTGAACAAATATCGCGAAAATGCGAATATTGATGAGCTTTGAAAATGAGAACTCACTCATGATTTCCAACAAAATAATGAAAAATGTCAAATTATATATAAAAAAAAATGATTAAAACGCCTTTATAAATATTTTTATAGACCATTGCACAATTCTAATGGGGGAAATTTCATAGGAAAACTCTGATGAAATTAAGAGATAAACTACCTATTTACTAGTGTTTCATATCTTTACAAAAAATTGGATCTATCATTAATAATAATGTAATATCACTTATATCGATGATAAACATCCTACATAAGATTTTTTAATATATTTTTACACTTTCACTATGAAATATTTTCTACATTTCAAGTCCAACCTTTCATACAAAGAGAATCCTAAGCTCTAGTAGGTTCCTTGGTCTACCAATTTGGAGTGCTCCTATTTCGAAACGTGAACAGTGTATTTTGGGAGACGAGTGTCGAAAAATCGTTGCACCTGTGTGGGGGCATTATCCTCTTAAGGATAAAGAGTTGGACTCTTATCTCAACCAAAATCTCATTTTCTACGTTTCTTCCTTCTATATTTTTTTTGGATTCGGTTAGTCCAACCTCTATCCAATTTTTTGTACGTATAATATTAATTGTTGGAATATAATTCACGTACCAATTTTTCCAACATGTTTCACCTCTATCATCAAGAAAATGATTTGTAGAGTGATGAAAAAAATATGATAGTCATATTATATCTCGTCAGAGAGCGATGCTTTTTTTGTCTCTAAAGTGACACATGAAACATGGTCACGAAAGGACCAAATAGTTGTATCGTGGATAATCATATAACACCATTTCTTTAGAGATTCTTTGATATTTTTTTAAAGTCTTAAAATCAATTATAAGGGTGGTTATTACTCATTATAGAGCCATCAGATTAGCCAAGTTGGGATATAAAATGCAAATGAACAACTAATTTGCCAGATCTATATAATCATACCATATCTACACTACATGTGACAAGTTGATGGGAATTAGTCTCTTCATATTTCATTTGAATGATTTGGATGGAGTTTGAGGAAGTTCAAATATTTTACTAGAAAAGTTGAACAACTTTTGCAAAGCGAAAAGTATGAGACGTTGAATGATTTGGATGGAGTTTGAGGAAGTGCAAATATTTTACTAGTAAAGTTGAACTACTTTTGCTAAGCGAAAAGTATGAGACGAAAGAGGCAATACGAATACGCAAAATTTATTTAGATGAAAGATTGAGGGCTCCAAATGTAACGATATTTGTTAATCACATTTATTTGTGATTGAATGTAGTTCTTGAAAGAAAAGGCAAGTTAATTGATAATGATAACTTCCATGTTAAAGGGCATATAATTTGCTATTTAAAGAGTGATGTAATTGGTTGAAAGGCACATGCAACCATATGGTTTGTATCTTATAAATGCAAAAATTGTCCTAGGCATTGATAATGTGTGTATTCCACCTATCAAGTTTGATATGTTATGTTATTTGTACAACTAGCAAGGATGAGAATACCTCGTGTTTACTAGAATGTACGTTGTCTCGTAGAAGTCATCAATTTTTTTATAACACGTATGGGTACTTTGGTAGGTTGGCTTAGAAAGATTGTACCTTTTCTTCAAGTTTTTAACATATTTTTATAACTTTGCTAGGATAAATAGTCTAAATCTTTATATTTTGATTATGTTTTTCATAATTTAGCGACATGCAAGAAGATTTTGCTTGAGAACATCAATCTTGAAATTGAACCACTTACTTGAGCTTTAGATTAATTGAATCTCTCATATGAGCTTTTGGGACTATGAATCTAAAATCTTAAAGAGTTTCATTATCATTTTTATTATCTATAAACAATGTGAAATTTCACTTGTAAAGTTGTACCTTTTTTTTTTTTTTTTTTTTTTTTTTTTTTTTTTTTTT